AACTATCAGCCAGCATTAACATTTTAAGCCTTAAAACATAGAAATGATCACTGACCTCTGTCTCCTGAACAGACTATAAGAGAGTAGCATAGACTGGATGGCTGAGTGGCTTATAAGCACCAGCCATTTATTTCTCATGGTTCTGGAGGCTGGGAAGTCCAAGATCAAGGCGCCTGCAGAGTCCGTGCCTGGTGCGAGCCTGCTTCCTGGCTTATAGATGGCTGTCTTTTTTTTTTTTTTTAAGATTTTATTTATTTATTCATGAGAGAGAGAGAGAGAGAAGCAGAGACATAGGCAGAGGGAGAAGCAGGCTCCCTGTAGGGAACCTGATGTGGGACTTGATCCCGGGACTCCAGGATCATGCCCTGTGCCAAAGGCAGGTGCTAAACCGCCAAGCCACCCAGGGATCCCCTAGATGGCTGTCTTATTATGTGTCTTCACATGGCAGGAGGGGCCAGGAAGCCTAGTGGGGTCTCTTATATAGGGACATTAGCCCATTCATGAGGGCCTCACCTTCATGATCTAATTCACCTCCCAAAGGTCCCACCTCCTAATACCATCACCTGGGTCGTTAGGTTTCAACATACACATTTGGCGGGGGTTGGGGGGACACAAATACTCAGTCTCTGGCAACTTGTTTACTCTTATTCCTGCTTTTGGAATTCGGATGTAGATTATAGACAGCGGGATGAAAAAGGAGAAAATTAATGTGGTGGGTTGAGGTGAGCACAGAGTGACATCCCAGCCCCACTGACCACACGCCTTGCGTGAAGTGCTCTAATAGCGTTATGCCATTTGCTCCTCAACAACCCTGTATTCTGGCTGGGGAACAATTCTTAGCTCCATTTTACAGTTAAGACATGGGACCAAAAGAGAGGAGGTGACTTGCTCAAGGTGATCTATACCAAAATCCAGATGTTTCCCAGAAGTTCACATTCAGGGCTCTTTCTCTTCTCGTTCTTACCCTCCTAAGCCCTGCCTTGTGAATCTTGTTATAGGAGTCTTCGGCCTTAAGCTTCTTATCATTCCTGTGAAATAATCATTCTAATAATTGAGAATCAGCACAGTTGGTGTTTTAGGCACCGAAGTCCTGAAACTCAGAGCGGTGAGCAGCTGCACCTTAAAACAAAACTGAGCTCTTCCACCAGTGAGGCAGGACATCATCCCATTCATCCATCTCAATATCTGTAAGTGCAAAATAGTGAATTTCATTACAGAATAGCTTAGGGAAGAGTTTCCCAATGAAAAGCCAGTATTGCAATGTCAGTGGTGAGGGAGGCAGTACAAGGCTATGAAAAAAAGAAGTGTTTTGTGCTTTCCTTCCTCTTGCATATTAACTCAGCTCGAAGGGGTAGGGTCCCTATGCTCCATCATCTGCAGAGAACCCACCAAGATCAAGGACGGCATCTCACGCCAGGGTGGCTGTCAGTGATGAAGACAGACACGTCTGCAGCCCCCTCAGCCCTCACTGGGTCTGAGCTACTGAGAGTCACATCAGCCCTTGAAGAGAGGGCGGGCGGGAGGAAGGTGTTTCTGTGAGTCAATGTCTCCTCTAAGAGGCTAGATGAAGTGAAATATCAGACTGTGGAAAGTAAAACATCTCTTGACTATGAGCAGACACCTTTTCTGTTTCTCAGTCTTGAAAATGTCAATGTCACAGCCAGTACTCAGCTTTGATGGAGCTTAAGAGCATGGTCTATGGAGCAGATTGCCTGCATTTGCTTCCTGGCTTTGCTACCTAGGGTACATGTGGCCCTCAGAATGCTATTTAGCCCGTCTGGCCCTCAGTTTTAGCATCTGTGATATTTATATGGGAATAATAGATTAAGAGCATCTGCTACGAAGGTGTATCATCAGGATTAAATGAGTTGCGGGTGTGACACTCAGAAGAGAACTGGGCTGAGAGTAAGCAGGACATAGATGTATCTGATTCCTTTCTGCAGCATCTTAGAGCCTCGGGAGTGGGCTGAGCTGCTTACGGGCACCTGCTAAAGTCTCTCTCGGCTCCAGGCTTCCCAGCCTCTGTGTCCAACCTGGAATACTTACTCTTGAGTGTGAGTGTGGGCCATGGACAGGAAGCAGCAGGCTCACCAGGGAGCTTGTTAGAAGTGTAAATTCTCTGGTGCCTCCCCAAGTCTTCTTAATCAACATCTCAGGGCGGGCTCAGAATTCTGATGTAACATGCTCTCCAAGGGATTTTTAAGTTGGAGGAACATTGTTTCAGAATCTTCTTTTTACTGAGAAACTTTCAGGAATCCTGATGGTGGGGCTGCAGTGGTCACCACGGTGACTCCGAGGACCAAGTGTCCTCATCAATCCCTTTGGTTTGGGGACTGCTTAGAATTTGGATAGATTGTTTAGGACCTTGACATGATCAGCTTAGTTAATTGAAAGGGTGGCATTTAGAATGGGAGGGGAGCCCTTACTGATGCAAGTCCAGATTATGAACTGGGCTAAGGCTTAGGGCCAGTTTGTAGATTATTTGACCTTAGGTCAGATTTCCATCTACCATCCCATATTTGCAGTCCAGATGAGTCTGTAAACAGGAGATTGCAGGTAACTCAGGACTTTGGAGGATGGTTTCCAGTGCTGCTTAGTTATCAGCTAAGGCTCATAAAGGAAATTGACAGCCCATTCTTTGTAATAAAAAGTAAAGTAGGTGAAGTAGTGTTTGCTGGGTTTTCCCAATATTTGAGATACTACACAAAGGAAGCCCTGCAGAGATGTAAAGAGGAGGGGGGAATAAGTGAATAGACGTGACCATTTAGCTCTCTCCCCACTACCATGTCTCTATCCATCTATTTATCTCCATCTCCAGGATATTTCCCCTGTATGATCAATAAATATAAAACACATTTCTGAAATGGACTTCCTTGATCTTCTACAGGGCATATGGCTTTTTAGTTACTTCTTGAGCAACAGCAAAACCATTACTTTTCCAGTTTTCTTCCTGTGCTGAAAACGTGAAGGCATTAGTCAATTCATTACCTTCAGATGCATTACAGCATCTCTTGGATCTGCTTCTTAGAGGCTCCCTCTATTTTAGAGGCACAATCCAGTTCAAGTCCTTATTGCCTCGTGGCCTGATGGCTTCAGCGACCTCTCGGCTGTAACCTTGATGAACCAGCCTATTTCCTCCTCAGTGCACGTACCTCCATCCCCCGTTGCCACAACAACAGCCCTCGAAGACTTTTTCCTTATCAAGTCATTCATGCCTTTGACAAAGAACCTATTCTGCCTTTATTTTGGCCATTCTATCAAATCCAAATATCGCTGCCCAGGCTTGAAGCCACTCTCTAACTCTACCTCTTACATTTCAGCAAGAGAATTCCTCACAGTCTTTTTCATTCTAGGAAATCAGTGTACTGTACTCATCCCTCTACTTCTCCCACGTCCAGAGCACGCACATACCATCCTCTCCAACGTGTGCCACTAACACACTTCGCCCATCTTTTGTTTTTCTTCCTGCACCCCTTCCATTTGTCCTCATCTCTTGTTTCAGAACTCTTATCAAACACCCTGTTCAGTCCTCTCTAACCTTATTTGTACCACTACTGCTATCCCCACACTCTTATGTTGCTTTGCAAATATCTCCAAGTGATTTCTCTATGTAGGGTCTCGTCTAGATAGTTTACTGCTAAAGACCAAGGCAGCAGAGAATTTTCCATTTCTTTTGTTAATGCTACACTTGGGGGAGCAGCCCAGAGTGCTGAGGTTGATAGAATGTTCAGCATGAAGTGGGCACTCACTACATGTTATTCACCAATTACAAAAAGTTGCTTGATCCCCCGAAGACAACCAGAGGAGTAAAAGCAGTTAGGAATCCTCCTAACTGAAGCCTATTTTAGGGAGCTCTAATGAGACCCAATTAGAAACCTTCCTCCTGCTTTCATATGTTTCATGTGAACAGGAAAAGCTAATACGTGAAAAAATCAGGCTAACTGTGGCTTTTTGGACCATTGCACGCTTCTCTTATGCTCTGAATGCTTGCCTGGTTTGCATTACGATTTCCTTCCTTGCTGGAAAACTGCATAGTCTTTCTCCCTTTCTTTGGAAGAAGTGGGACCTGTTGGAAATGTGAGGCTCCAGGATTCAAATGCAATGGGCTTGGCTGGAGTGCTCTGTAGTGCATTTCTTGACAAGTCCTGAAAAGACTATTGAATTCTAGCCTGTGCTTTTTTTTTTTTTTTTCCTGCAGTATTTGGATGTGTTTCAGCTGCAGTGTTTGGCTGGATAGAGTAATCGAAGTAGTTTTTTTCTTCCTCAGCAATCTTATGTTACAATTTCATCCTTTGCAGTCAAAATGGAATATTTTACTCTATGCAAATACTTTTGAGTGCAATAGAATCATAGCTCTTTTCATAAGCGAAAGATCTATCTTTTAATATTACACATAAACAGGTGAAAATATAAACTGGCAGTGCTCTCCTGGTAGAAAAACTGGCAGGTATTTGGTGACTTTGCTAGAGGATACCAAGTTACAATGAAGATTTTTTTTTTTTAATTAAAGACAGTCATTTTGGAGGGACTTTTACTTAATAGGAAAAAAATTAGTTTTCCTCTTTAGTTTCATACAATTAAAACACTAAAGTTAGTAACCTCTGTAATGTCACAAGCATTGTGCGCATGTGGTGGGTTGGAGTTTTGATGCTCTGTGTAACAGGCTCTTGTTCCCTGGTAATCTTCAAAAGCCTGCTGGGCTTTGAATTTGCTCCATATCTAAAATTCTAGCTTTAATTATCAGATTAGCCTGCATTTTTTTCTTTGTGAGTAAGGAGAGGAGAAGCTGAAATGTGTTTATTATTCTGCAAAATGCTTGAGATGGTCAGATCCCAAATGTTTAATTTTGTTCTGGAAATGAGAGCTGTCAAATTATAGACTCCTTCAAGCCAACGGAGGGAAATTAATAAATCAAGGGAATAGAGTCACTGAGTGACACGGCATAAATGGGTGTTCGTGTGGTGCACTCTGCTAAACAATGCTGGAATTGTGCCTTCCAGGGTCCCTGCAAGTCATGAACAAAACAAGAAAGATTATGGAGCACGGGGGGGCCACCTTCACCAACGCTTTTGTGACTACCCCCATGTGCTGCCCCTCCCGGTCCTCCATGCTCACCGGAAAATATGTGCACAACCACAATGTCTACACCAACAATGAGAACTGCTCTTCCCCTTCATGGCAGGCGATGCACGAACCTCGGACTTTTGCTGTATATCTTAACAACACTGGCTACAGAACAGGTAAAGTTAGTGGACCTCCTTGCCCACGAACCTCTGGTGGTACTTCTTAGATACAGAAAAATGCCTCGTGTAATGAAGTATGTAAAGTTCCAGTAAATGGAAGTAGTGTAGGCTTTTCTCTTCTATTTCAGTACCCTTCCGATTCCATCCTTTTTTTACTCTGAAGAATGTACCAATAAGAGATCCCTTAGAAAAAAAGAGTGGTTCTCAGTGGGCACATTATGAAAGTGTTATATTCTTCAGAGCACCCAATGATTGGAGGATCTGGAACAGAAGAGTTTTCACCCCATTTACCTGCTTACCTCTACCTCCCAAATCTCAAGGGATTTGGGCACGCTTTGAGGCTTGTCTTAGGTGTCGGTAAATTCCTGCTGATTGTTTCAGTGAGAAATCATTAAATGTTTTGAAACTGCTTAGCATCTACTCTAAGATCTAGGACACAATAGATGATGAAAATAATTTTTTGAGTTAATAAACAACTGAATGAAGAAACCAATGAGCTGTACCTTATGATTCATTCATTTATTCATTCTTAATTGATAGAATTTGGAGTTTCTTTAGCTCAGGTTGTGGGATTTTTTAGGTTCCAGGTGTTCATGCCCATCTTCCTTTTTTTTTTTTTTTTAAGATCTTGTTTATTTATTCACGAGAGACACAGATAGAGATGCAAAGACATAGGCAGAGGGAGAAGCAGGCTCCATGCAGGGAGCCAGTTGTGGGACTCGATCCCGGGATTCCAGGATCATGCCCTGAACTGAAGGCAGATGCTCAACCACTGAGCCACCCAGGTGTCCCTCATGCCCATCTTCCAAGAAGGAAAGGCATCCCAATCCTACTCCTACTGTCATTGTTTAACCTACGTAGGGCAACAAGAGGTTCTGGTTAACTGGTCTTTTTAAAATTGGGGACCTCTTTCAAGAAAAGTCATAAATGTCATACCAGTCTTTCTAAGAAAGAAGCAAGGCTCCTTCAGGTAAGCTCAGCCTCCAAAGCCTTTGGATAAAGGCCGAGAGAATTCTCAGCATGTTGATGCTCTCGTTGGATTTTCCAAACGTTTCTTCATGAAAGGCAACAAGGATGTTTATAGAAGGGCTGCGAAGCATATAGTTTTTTTCAGAGCGACCTAAACTTATAAGCATTAAAGATATCATCATTAAAACTCATTGGAAATGATTTTCAGGTCTACAAATTTTCTATTCTGAAGATGGAAAAGTAAAGAGTTTCAGACAAATATATTCTCTTAAATACCTTTAAAAAATGAAATGAATCTTTCCCACTGGACTTGGAAAATATGAAGCCATTTGCTTCTTTGCAGAACATTCTGTGGGCATTTAATACTTGTTATTTATGGATAAAAATATTGATTTTGACTATGATAGCATGGTCATTCACAAACATCTCAAGATCTCCATTCAGAGAGGAAGCTCCTCCCATGACTCTCAAGGGTGTTTGCTTATGCTTTGGAAAGAAACTAGGTTACTCGGAGTGCCTTATCCTAAGTGTGTTTTCTCACATAAGTGATTTAAATTTATGGTACCTTTCATCTGCAAGCTCTAAGGCACTTTGCGAATCCATCAAATATCCCTGTAGAGTTCAGAGACAGCAAATGTACTTGGCTCTGTTTTATAACTAAGGTGGGGATTTCAAATATTATGTGACCAACTCAGAAGCAAAATCAGAAATGTTCCCCTAATGCTTAGTTCCTGATTTTAACCACCAAATTGTGTTTTGTTCATGAGAAGCATCATGTGAAATCAATGCCTTTCAACTCCCTGGCTCCCTGTAATTTAATACCTAGTAGCAGATATAGGGCTTGAAGGGTCAGGACTCTCACCATCTCCAGAGTGATATGGATGATGTCTGTCATAAGAAATAGAGATGCAGGATGACACAGAGAACCTGCCAGGACTTAGAGTGGTCAACTGGGTTTTGCTCCTTTGATTCAGGGCAAATCAAGAAAAAGTGAGAAGATGAATGAGTTCTGAAGAAATCGTATACAGCAATGTGACCCTAGTTGACAGTATTGTATTGTGCACTTGAAATTTGCTGAAAGGATAGATTTTTTGGTGGAGTCACTACAAAAGGAAAATAGTAGAGGTGTGAGGTGATGGATATATTGGTTGGTTTGGCAGTGATGAATATTTCACAATGTTTATGTATTTCGAGCCATCAGATTGTATGTCTTAAATACATTACAATTTTCCTAAGATTTTATTTATTTATTTGAGAGAGAGAGAAAGAGAGAGAGAGAGAGCACATGCAAACAGGGGGAGAGAGAGGGATAAGCAGACTCCACACTGAACGCAGAGCTTGGCTCCGGGTTTGATCCCACTACCCTGAGCTCACGACCTGAGCTGAAACTAAGAGTCGGTTACTTAAGAGACTGAGCCACCCAGGTGCCCCAAATATATTACAATTTTTTGATTGTCAGTTATACCTCAATAAAGTTAGGTAGAAAAAAGAAAGGAGGAAAAGAAGGAAATTAGTATTTGTTGCTTACCTACCGTGCAGCGGCACTTTAGCTAAATTGTCTCACTTAATTTTTCCAGCAACTTCAAAAGAAAGGATTTGCCTGTGTTACTAAAGATGAAACAGAGACTCAAGAGAGTTGTCCTAGGTAACAGGCTAACCAGTGATAGGATGGATCCAGCATGTCTGACTCCAGAGCCTTTTTTTTCATCATCTTACCTTTTTATGTATGCTTCTATCATGCCTCATTCCAAAACTGCCTTCAGAGACGTAAAACATAACAGGATACAAAACCGTATGGGCCCTGGCAAACAGAAATGAAGAGCTGTATCAGTAAAAGGCAAGGCAAAGCTTAGTATACACAATGCATGCCATGGAATTGTGGAGAAAGAGTGCCATTTTCCAGGTGGCAAAAGCAAAAATTGAAACACCATCCATTCCGAAGTTTACTGGGTCACCAAGATAGAAATAGATCAGTTGCTTCTAAGAAATATTGTGTATTCTGGTACTTGTTTCGATCATACCATGCAATTGTATATATCTACCCCACAATGGATTATAAGAGCTTGGATGAAACAGAGATAATTTAGTTCAATTCCCTTATTTTCTGGTGAGCAAATTTACATCTACAAGATCAAAAGTGTCACATCTGATGTGCTCATGGGAAGAGCAGCTATCAGGACCCTGCTCTTCAAGGTTCTTTTCAGTGCACTACTCTAACTGCATGGATTAGGTCGAGAATGACAGTGTACACCATAAGACTGCCCCAATGACAACGGTCAGGCTTTTTGTGCGGACTGGTCACCTGCTTCAGACTGTTGTCTTCCCAAGTATAGATGACTTGCTCCTGGAAACTAAGTCTGATTCCAAGGCCAAACTCCTGTGCAGGGGTCTAGACACTAAGTAATAATTGAATTTATAGTGAGTCATCTTATGGAGAAAATGAAATTCTTTAAAGGAAACAGGTACTTTTCCAAATAGTTAGAAATAGAAAAAGGGGGGATCCCTGGGTGGCGCAGCGGTTTGGCGCTTGCCTTTGGCCCAGGGTGCGATCCTGGAGACCCGGGATCGAATCCCACATCGGGCTCCCGGCGCATGGAGCCTGTTTCTCCCTCTGCCTATGTCTCTGCCCATCTCTCTCTCTGTGTGACTATCATAAATAAATAAAAATTTTAAAAAAAAAGAAATAGGAAAAGGATGACAAGCACAGAAGAAAATAAATTTCGAGGTGCCCATTAGTGAATCAGACAAAAGTACAAATTGGAAGACTAAAATGGCAGTGATAGAGATCTATATAATTTACATTTATCTTTGATGGGAAAATACTGAAGTGTCTCAGACAATTAGGAAGCAAAGAGGCCTTTGTGACAATAGTTTATTGATCTAACCTGGGAAAGAGACCCATTTGAAAATACGCAAATAAACACATCAGGATGATGTGCATTTTAGGAAGTTAAAATAATTAGTGAATAAGTATTAAACCAACATAATTATTTATAAGCCATTAAATGAGAGGGGGGAAAGCCAATATATATTTTATTGTGTTTCTAATAATGAATACATTATTTCGAACGTTTAGCTGAGAACCTAAGAAAAATAATGCAAGAAACTGAAATGTGTATCATACGTAAATATTCATCTAGGGAAAAAGCACAAGGCAGTAATCAGTTTTATGAAGAAAAACTCCAAGAAGACAAATTACTAACAGGCTGATTTTGGGAGGCATCCAGAATACATGGATTTCAATGAATTTGAATTGATCCAATATTATATTTACCATTTGTATGACATGATTTTTCTTTTTCAGAAATGAGGCATATTTTTGGACTGGCTATAGCCTGAATTTTTTCAAACTTTACTCATGGAAAATATGACTCTCCAACAGCTTAAATGTTCAAAAGGGGAAAATACAGCAACATGTCTATTGCATTTTATGTTCTGACAAGTGAAGTGGGAATGATATTGGATTATCTATCATAAAAATGAATATCCTGCCTATCTGCTAAAAAAAAAAAAACTAGTGTAAATTTCTTGTGAGAATATAGACTTGAATGTTAAGCCTGCCATAAGTTTTAAGGTAAAAGTAACAATCAATGTTTGAGAGATAGCATCAAATGTCAGAAAAAAACACCCTGAATCAAGACTGAGGAGAGCTAGAGCCACGTTCCATCTCTGCCTTTAATTTGTCTGGAGAACTTGCACAAGCTAGTTTTCCAACTTGTATATCTAATGGAGAGATTAAACCAGAATGATTCCAAGGTTTTCTTTCCTGTCCAAAATTATACTGTAATTTTATTATAATCCCTGTAATTTTCATATTGATTCATTTAAAGATTGTGGTGTTCAAATTATAATCAGAACACATGATATGAATGAATTAAATTTTAGTCATACTCATTTTACTTCATATCACTTGGGTGGAGGGGGCAATATTTAATGCAGAGTTGCAGTAAATTCTTTTGTAGAGAATTCTTTTATAACAAAATAACTTAGACAAAGAAATTGACTTTCTGATTTGACGTCTTTTCATT